AAATTTTAAGCATAAAGAAAGACCTAAAATATTCCAAGGTAATTTTGGAAATTTAGGCTTGTGCACCATTAAAATTGAATTTAATTAAGTTGGACTTATTTTGTTTTCATTTTACCCTAAATTAATTCTAAAATAAATTTAGATTAATTTTACGTCGCACGTAAATCGGGATTAAAATCCCGAAAAAAATGCACGCAAATCGAGGCAAAACCCCAAGCGTCACCAAGGCTAGCCGGGCTGCCCAGCAACCCGCATGTGGCTGCCTATGGTGCGCACAGGGGCCATGCCATGATGCTGCGTTGCTGTGTGGCGAGAAGGTTGTTGCGTGCTGCCGTATTGCTGGATGCGTGGCCTTAGGCTGCTGAAGGCTTGTGCGTGCTGCTGGGCAACGGGGCAGCAAGCCCCAGCCAGCTAGGCCACTGTTGCCTGCGCCAGCGAGCAGCTAGCATGCGTAGCATGCTGCTGGTGCTGGCTAGCAGAGCATGCTGCGCTAGGCGTGCTTGCTAGCAGCCAACACCACACGCAACACTAGGCTGCCTAGCAGCCATGGTGCACAACCCGCTAGGATACGAGTGGGCGGTTTTGGCTTAATTTCGGGCTATGTGTTTTGCGAAATTTTTTGCTGTTTTAAAATATTTATGTAATTATTTTAACGAGGTTGGACATCGATATTTCCGGCTCTTGCAAAATTTTTTATTTTGACAAATTTGGGTTAACCGGCTTAATTAATTGGATTAATTAAGTTGGATGCGGAATTTAGTGGGAGCTTAGCTAATTATGTGAACAAATCGCACCTTAGTAATACAAAATTTATTAAACAACTTTGACTAGTTTTAATTAGGCGCGATAATCGGATTAACCACCTAAGTTAGTTACTAGTTTTGCGTGTTTACTTGTTTTATCTCGTAAAATGCATGGGCCATTCACAAATAGTGAATGGGTGAATGAAAGATTGTTTCAAAACAGGTTATTGAGAAAATGGCAACTAGTGGGACCCGACTAGGATAGAAAATACGGACTGCGTTCCGTTATGTATTTTTGTAAATCTAACTACGGTCTGCGAACCGTTAAGTATTTTAGTACTTTAGATTAATCTTAGTCGTAGTAGCTAGTAATTTTATTTTGGCTAAGATGTTTCAAGACGGAGTTTCAATGAAGACAAGCTAAGATGAAGGCCCTTGAAGATTTGAAGATTTGAAGATTTCAAGGGGTCATGCTAGTTGTTAAATGCGTCAAATTTATGCCTTATATATATATATATATATATATATATATATATATATATATATATATATATATTGTTGTTATATATATATTTGAATGATAGATGCATGTCTAGGATTTCAAATGTTGCGATGATTAGTTAAGTTCACTTAAATCAACCAACATAGAAACCCTAGGTCCCTTAAAATATTGAGCTAAAATTTGTCGTTCCAAGAACAACACTTACCGAACTAATGCGCGTATGTGATGGGCTACGCTAAAGCGAGGCATCACTACTTCCCTAGGAACGTAAGGTATACTAGGTATACAAGTTGTCTTGGTTAAGCTCAACGATCGATATCAGTAAGGAGTCCTTAGATGTCGTGGTAAAAGAGATAAAATGTCAAGAATGCATTAGATGCGACATTTTATCAAACCGAGAGTAGCTTAGAGCTATTAGCAATTAGATTGCTTACCTTAAGATATTTAATGTTAATATAAGCCAAAGCATGCTTAACCATTTCTTGATCTTTAGGATCTCGGAATCATTTTATTCTCGCCTAAAGGGACAATATTAATGCGTGGATAAAATGCTCAATAAGATTGAAAATTTGCATGAACGCTTTTAAATTTCAAACTTATTGATTATATGAATGGTTTTTCATTTCAAATTCTTTCAATTGTAGAACAATGTCTGCAAGTAACTCAAAATACAATTCTATGTGCCCGAAACTCCCCAACAAGTTGGCATTTGGCCTTAACTTGGTCAACTTCAAGGAGTGGGAGGAGGAACTCAGGAAAACTCTTCGAAATTGTTCCTTGGAGTACACTCTTGACACTCCCATTCCAAGCTTCTTCTTTAAGGGGGTCATGACCGATGAGGCTCATGAAGAATGGTCTTCCAACTGCAAGAAAGTCTCACGACTCATGGCCAATTCCATCATAGAAGATTGGAAGGAAAGCCTTTCCTCCTACCTTCTGGACATGTTCCTCAAAGCCCTTGAGGACATATTCAATGTAAGAGTCACCAAGAGTGACAATGGCAACTATGATGGACTCGTGTTTGATTTAACTAGGTCACTCTCAAACATGAAGATAAAGCCACCGAATGTGGGTTGTCTTGTTAAGGAAAGGCGTCGGCTTTGGACAAAGGTCTACAATGCAAAATTGAGACCCGACATGCCCCTCCGACCTCATGTGCTTGGAATGACTAGGCACTTCAAACACATGTAGCTTGTCGGAATCTCATTGGAGGATGAGATGGCGAGGCATATCTTGCTTGCTTCGCTCCACTCGGGCTATGATGCACTTAGAGTGCATATAGCTGCGGGAAGGGAGACACGCTCCTTAATGGAGGTGGTGCAACTACTTAGCCGAGCCACCGTTTATGGAGTGACCGAGAGGCCCTTGAGAGTAAGGAGAAGGGAGTTCAAGAAGGTCAAGGCAAAGATGCGATGCTTCTATTGTGGTGGGCAAGGTCACTACAAGAGAGAATGCAAGCTCTTTCAAAAGGAGGAGAGGAATGGAGCATCTGCCTCAGGTATCTTCCTTAAACATTTGTGAATTAAGCTTATCATAGGTATTATTAGATACCAAGTATGACTCACTTTATGTTGCCTTGTCAGGGACCAAGTGAGAAGCTTATCAAGTGTACGTGCAAGGAAAAGTAGACGACGAAGATGGTTTTTCGGTCGTGCTTGCATGCACTATTTTGTCTATGACATGTAATTAAACTAATCTTAGTTTCATCATGCTTTTGAACATACTATGATCGATCTATGGTGTTGGACACCTAGTTATTTTGAATGTAAGACTTTGACAATGGTTGTTTCAAAATTGTCTTGCAAATATATGTTCAATGAAAATTGCATGATTTTGACATATGATTAGACAAAAGTTGATACCACTACTTAAACTAAGACCACTAAGAATTCACCTTCGTCAACAAACATTAGTAGATATGGCTATGTCTACCTAATGTCGAATAAATCTGAATCTTTTGAGAAATTCAAAGAATTTCAGAGAGAAGTTGAGAATCAACTTGGCAAGAAAATTAAAGCACTTCGATCGGATCGAGGTTGCGAATATTTGAGCCATGAATTCGATGATCACTTGAAAGAAAATGGTATTCTTTCAGAGCTGACACCTCCCGGAAGTCCTCAATGGAACGGAGTATCACTACTAGAAATAGGTCGTTTTCCGAGGGAATCGTTCCGACGGACCTAAATTACGTTGGAAAATCCGAACTTTCCGACGGAATTAGGGTCTGTCGAAAATTTTCGTCGGAAACGGTTCCTTACGATGGAAAATCCCTCGGAATCCTTGCGACGGAAATTATTTCCCTCGGAATAATAGGCTTCCGACAGAATATTCCGTCGGAAAGTTAGTTTTCCTACGGAATTTAAATCTGTCGGAATTTTCCTACGGAATTTTCCCTCGGAAAACCTAAATATAAATCCGTCGGAACTTTCTAATATATAAAAAAAAACGGACATTTCTAAGATTTGGGAACCCTAATCTTCTCCCCTTCCGCCTCTTTTCCCTATCTCTCTCCTCTCCTCTCATGTTCTTACTTTCTCCCTCCTCCTTCCTCTTCTCTTCCTCTACTTCTCTGATCTCCTCTCCTCTCCTCGATCTTCTCCCTTTTTCTCTCCTCCTCCCTCTTCTTCTCTGATCTCCTCTCCTCTCCTCGATCTTTTCCCTTTCTCTCTCCTCTTTCCTCTTCTCTTCCTCTGTGATCTCCTCTTCTACAACAACAACAATCAACAAAAGGGGGTCGCAACAACAACAATCAACTGCAACAAGCAACATCATCAACAAGCAACATCAATTTGAATGTAATTATAATTGTGTAATTATATAATTTTTTTGATTTTCGTTGTATAATTTTCGGTTTTTTGAATTTTCGGTATTTTTTAAATAAATTGTGTTAATATAATTTTGTTTTTTAGTTTATTTCGGTTGTTTAATTTCTGATTTTCGTTGTTTAATTTTCTGATTAATTTGTTTGATTTTTTGCGTTTATTTGGGTGAATTTGTTTTTTTTTTTGGGTTAATTTGGTTTTATTTGTGGGTGGTGGTGGGTATGTGTGGGGTGGGTGGGTGGTGGGGTGATGGTTTGCTGTGTGTGTGTGTGGGGGGGGGGGGTCTGTGTGGGGTGGTGGGTGTATGCACTACTACATTTAAGAGCTAATACAATGGCTTTTTTTGTTGTATTAGGTGTCAAAAACCGTTGTATTAGACCTAATACAACGGTTACCAACCGTCACATTTGCAAGGGTTGGATTAGGTCTAATACAACGACTAAATAGACCTAATCCAACGGATTGAGCAATCCGTTGGATTAGGTAGATACCTAATCCAACGGTTTCTTCAATCCGTTGGATTAGGTTCCCTTTTGTTTTTTTGGGAATAATTGGACCTAATCCAACGGATTGATGAATCCGTTGTATTAGGTATCTACCTAATCCAACGGATTTTTCGCCCAATCCGTTGGATTAGGTCCTTTATTTTTTTTTACATCCGTTGTATTAGCCCCCTTTTTTTTATTTTTTATTTTTTTATTTTTTAATACTGTTGTATAAGCCCCCTTTTTTTAAAAAAAAAAAAAAAAAAAACCGTTGTATTAGACCCTTTTTTTTTTCTTTTTGTTTTTTTAAAACCGTTGTATTAGGTAAATTTTTTTTAAGTCTATAATAATAAATATAAATTATATTAGTATATTTATAATTTAAATAAACAAAGTACATATAATATATTTTCGTTGCATTACAAAATAAATGAAGTACATATAATATATCTTCGTTGCATTGCAAAATAAACGAAGTACATATAATATATATTCGTTGCATTACAAAAGTAAACGAAGTGTCAATACTAACTAATTATAAATAAAAGTTCACTAGCTAATTAATTAACAAACGTTTAATTTGAAAGCTCTCTAGAAGTTGCAATAGATACATAAAATCAACATTAGTCCTTACTTCATTCATCCTGGGGTAGCTCATCGTCATCAACCACCTAAGTAAAAAAAGTAATGCATAAGCCACAATACCAACAACAATAACACCAATTGGGGAAATTAAAGAACGCACAACAACACACAAATCAGTCATTAAAGTACAAAATATACAATAAGAGAACAAAAATCAGACATCCTTGGCAAGATATCATAATTTTAACAGTTTTCCACATCCAATGGTAAGTGGAATCAAACAAACAAAAGACATCAAAAGGCTATATCAACAGTTTGAGATAATGCTATGTTTAAACAGCTCGAAGTTGTTAAATACCAGGAACATATTAATGTAGAATGCTGTAAAGATTTAAGCAATACTTGTATGCAGTATAGTATTTTTACAAGGGCCTCGGCCCCCTTGGGATAAAACAAAGCTTCATCCCAGGCTAAGAATTACTTAGAGAGATTGATTACTTTCTGACAGAAAGAAGTCATCTTGAATATTGGAAGATAAATAAAAGGGGAGAGACTGACTATCATCCAAAGATAAAGGTTTTATGAGATTCCTCAGGAATCCAAGTTATCAAAATGGAAACCCACTTCCAGGATTTAATACATCAAAGAGATAAAAATAGAAGTTAAGGCATTTTAGATGTCTCACATGGGAGACAAGATCCAGCATAATGTGATCAGCATACGACATTAATTATCGCACACCTGATTGTTATGCTCGGGGAATGCTAGAGGGAGATAAGGAGTGGAATGATGCAACTTATGAGGCGTCTATATGGGCAAACTCAGCATAACTACGCCAGCCCCTTCTATAGTAGGCAGGCAGGCAGGTAAGCAAGCAAGCAGGCAAGCAGTCAGGTAGGCAGGCAAGCTTTCAGTCAGGCAGGTAAGCAGTCAGTCAGGCAGGTAGGCAAGCAAGCAGGCAAGCAGTCAGGCAGACAGACAAGCTTTCAGTCAGGCAGGTAAGTAGTCAGTCAGGCAGGTAGGCAAGCAAGCAGGCAAGCAGTCAGGCAGGAAGACAAGCTTTCAGTCAGTCAGGCAGGTAGGCAAGCAAGCAGGCAAGCAATCAGGCAGGCAGGCAAGCTTTCAGGCAGGCAAGTTAAGCAGTCAGTCAGTCAGTTACTTAGTCAGGCAGGCAGGCAGGCAGTCAGTCAGGCAGGCAAGCAGTCAGTCAATCAGTCAGGCAGTCAGTCAGTCAGTCAAGCAGTCAAGCAAGCAGTCAGGGGAAGTTTAGAAATTAAAGTTTAGAGCAGAGAAGTGCAGATTATACCTGATTAAATGATTTTGAAGATTGTCCACTTTGGGCAGTATTTCGATTTGGTGCACTAGATGCATCATGCGGAGTCAATTGCTGTAGAGTACTAGGAACCACAAGATTAATCCCAGGGTTCACCTCGCGAATCGAATCCAAAACTGCAGCGGTGATGGTAGGTGCAATTTCTTGGACTAATTGTGTTTTTATGCCTACCAGGAATTCCTCCGGGAGTATGTAATTTGACTTTGTATCTTTGTTCTTCAAATCACTCTTCTTCACACCCGAGCCACATAGATGCAAACGACTTTTGCGTTTAGGAGGTGGAATCACTTCACTGTAAGGGTCATTGCATACATTACCATCTTCTTGTGATTGTGCTGACTCCAAAGCATCAATTTTGTCCTGTTTAGGCAAACATAGTAATATGTTACTAATTATCGAATAACTAACAATATTTAGGCGTACAATGTTACTAATTATCGAATAACTCACAATATTCTCTTTTGCTTTTTCAAAGCTGCTAATGTATGTCCTTTCAGCACTTCTTTTTCTTGATTCCTTGTAAACCTTTGCTTGAGAAGGTTCTTTCTTGTCGGGATCTTGTTGTTGCTATATATATGTGAATCATAATATATGAAATTAGAATAATAAAAATATATGCAACATGCCTATAATTTAGATTTTAAAAAATGTACTTACCAACTCATGGCGTAAAATAGCATATGATTTGCGTCCCAAAGTGTGCATATCATCTAACATTAGACGATTGCTTTTGTTGCTTTGGCTAATTGCCTAGGGAAAATCGGAAACCACCATTTAATTCAAAATTAAACACATATTAGATAAAATTATTCGAGAGAATTAGATTAGAATCAATATACAGTACCTTCGCCTCATCGGTATGCCAATATTGTAGAAGATCTAGGAACATCTGATCGGAGATTGTATCTGGATAATGTTCCCACTTTAAATCATCCGTATCATATGCATAGAAGTGTTTCTTCTTGATTTGGCATTTATAATATTTCCAACTATTTACAGCATCCATCACCCAATTTAACCCGGCATGGGGGACCATATACTTCTCCTGTTCAAGCTAAAACATCAGTAACGTGTGGAGGTGTACGTGTAATGCAACAGTATCATTGTATACTACCTGGACATAATCCAATATCTTATCAAGTGTCGGTAGGCTAGGAAAATTTCTGTAGTTAAGCGGTGCAAGTTCGGAATCCCTTGCCACTGTTCCCAGAAAAAACTTGAACTCTTGCACAATCTCCTTAGTAGGTCCAACGACTGACCTAATGAGTTCAGAACAATCACAGGACGCTCCTCTCTTGAACGTGCGTGAACTCTGTGGAGTATTGTTCGTCCTCGATGTTTTTTCCTTTTCGAGGACAATTGACTTGATGTTTCTTTGATAATGACAAGTTTGACATGGACAACAAATTTGATTTCCTTGAGACTTAATAGCAAAAGCCCTTTTGACATATTCGTCGACTCCTTGTTCATATTCATCGCTCCATTTGGCAAACATTTACCAATTATTAGTTCCACCTTCCATTCCTTAGGGTAAAAATAGAAATTAACAGTGTAAATAGGTGCCAAAGGATAAAGTCACATAACCTGTACAACTCTCATTATTTTTCATGGAGGTGTTCTCGTGGAGGTGCAGCACAAAGGTTATTAATGAACTATATAACTCTATCCCAGGCACTAAATACACCCCTTCTAGATAAGGGAGTGTTATTGTCAAACAGCTAACATATAATGCAGGAAAATTACCAAAACACAAGATGAACACCAAGCTAGCCTATACTAATATAGTGTGTAAGCAAACTCAGAATTAATGACAGGATACAGAGTTATAGACATTAATTGGGTTTTACACATATTCCCTACATAAGTAAAGATTAGAGAGCTTTAAACACAAAAAATTAATGGTGGCCAAGGGAACAACGTTGCACCCACAGGTCGGACTTAAATTACATACTGTCCATTCTTCATTAAATCCAAGGGCCTTAAATCCAAAAGAATTACAAAAAAAAAACATTATTTGCATCAAAAAAAACATCGTAACATTCCACAAAAACAGGGCCAGTTTAAAATTACATTGAATACAAGACCCAAAAAAAGAAAGTAACATGTAAGCAGACTTTGAAGATCAAATGCTAACTAAACGCACACAACACAGGTCACATGCAAAAGCATACTATGCACATCAATACCAAAGAAAAGTAGACAACACCACCCACAACATACACTCAACACATGACTAGTTCACAAATCCAACACAGGCACACATCATCCTTGCTGTCAAGCATAGCAAATAACAATGCATAGAATCAATCAGATGTTCATTGCCACCAACAACCTTAGATGAAGAACTAATCTAAGAAGTCCTAAAGAAGCAATAGAATAAATGGATCTTTTTTCCAATTCTATAACAGTTGCGACATCTAGCGATCTCACACAACATCCCCCATTGTAAGTTGATAAACAAACCCAAACTGCAATCGGCATAACCAGAATGATGACAGAAATAACAAATTTCAAGCAGACTGGTTAAGCATGTGCTCATTCCAATATCATTTCCTGGTTGGAACTTGTAAAAAAAAAGTTGGCCTTTGAGAGTTCTAACCACAATCAGCAATTATTTATAACAATAGTACAAACATCCATAACATGCAGATATCCAATTCAAAATTTCAAATTAGCCAATAAGTTGCATTTCAACTAAATAACAAATTGCTGCAACCAAATGGAAATGCTTTAAAAACTACCCCTGCAAAAGAGAATTTAGGGAAATAGAACAAGCAGCCTAACCTTGAGTAAGGGATGCAAATGACCACTTTCAGGTGGAAGACCTTTAGCTTTAAAGTTGTATTCTTTGAGTTCCAAATCCTTCCAGGCACCACTGAGATAACATGCCAGCATTAGAAAGTCAAACAGCAGGAAAAAAGTAACTAAAACCAAGCTCCCGCCACAATGTCAACAAGTCATAAAAAGTTTGCTCATAGCAACACAAGAACAGATTACACTCATTACAGAGCACCAAGGCACAAAAGGCTAATTGGTAAGTATGCCAAAATTGGCGAGAGGGTATGTCACAATGTAAACTGTGCAAAGGGATCACATGACACAACAACTTCACAAATGGAACAAGGCCTGAAGGCCAACAGATTTTCAAACCAATTCATCACTGAAGCTTAAAGATCACCACTGGAAATACCATCAATTTATCAGAGCAATACCAGGCTTATGCAATAAATGCCAACATGTATGTGTGTGTGTGTTTATGTTGCATGTCAGCTAGGTGAGCTAACCATATCCAATTTGTGAAGATAGAGAAATGTGAGTACAACACAATTAGAATCAAAATACAAATGACTGAAAGCTAGTTTGAATATGCACTTATCAGACAGTAACAAAATTAGATGAAAATCAGACACAAGCATGCAGTAATCAGTTTAGTTGTTCACTTACGCTTAGAAATTCAAATATGCACTTATCATATCCTCTCAAGAGTATGAAACTACAATTACTGAACTAATTTACAAAAAGTGAAGTAGTTTCTCCGAATGGATCACTTAGTTAGAGAATGGATCACTTAGGTGTAACAACAGCACACAGGGTTGCGGTTAGCTAGCAAATCAATCACTTAGGTGTTGATACTTGCTACAACACAGGGATTCGCAGCACAAATCAATTAGCAGATCATGTTAGTGTGGAGATAACCCATTTCTGCTAGCCTGTTATGATCATAGATATCTGCTCATGCAATCCTCAGGTTTCTAAGAAAAATGGGAAAGAGATATTTGATGTTGACTGAATGTTCTAACTACAACAGAAATGCACCTATCAAGCACCTCCAAATCATCATTCCTCAATTGATAGAAATGTGAGTCTAAATTCAGGTTTTTCCTCCAGAAAAGAAACTATGTGTCTATGTTAGATGTCGAATTTAAGTCCATCCCACAAAATTACTAAGCACTTAAAAGATAGATGACTTCATATTACAAAATCAACAATGGCAACAACAGCCACTAAGTAGTACCTATTACAGTTTTGATGGGAGTGTGGAGAGGTCTACATTGATACGACTCCACCGGTAAAGGCATACCCTCAGTCGTAATCAAGAAACAAACAGAAACTAAAAAAGAGACTCCACCAAGGTAGTGTTTCAAACAGGAAGTCATGTCTATTTTCTTCTAAACAGGTAGTCATGTCACTCCTAGTTGACATATATTTAGACCCGGAAAAGCACGGCAGCATTGAAATTGCTCTTCACATTATAAAATGGGAGTAATGCACCACGAATAGAGAACATCCGTAGCTGCAGGCTGAACATTGCACTGATGCAAAAAAATAACCTTCGAAGAAAATTCTCCACTTCTTTCCACAATACTAATAATTCAGTTCTCCACTTGTTTTCGCTCTTTAACATTTCACTTTAGATGTGGCAGTAGTACTAATAAAAATTGACCAAATTCTCCACTTCTTTCCACAATACTAATAATTCAGTTCTCTGCTTGTTTCCATTCTAAACCCCCAAAACTTACAGAACCTTTCATTTCATTCATTAATTTTTTTGAAGTTTTCAACTTTATTCTAAAAGAAAGAAAAAAAAAAAAGAAGAAAAGCAAGTATGGCAGTTGTAGAGATGGTAGTTTCAGCAATGTTTAAAGAAGTGTTGGAAAAACTGGTTTCTGAAGGAGTGAAGCAGTTCGCGAAGCTAATTAACAAAGGAAAGAAATCAGCTAACTAAAATTTCACAAAGGACTTTTCATTGGTGACATTCAATGGGAGATAACTAAAATTTCACAACAAAAATCAGCTAACTTCAACAGGTATATGTCAAGTATTCCCAAATAAACCCCCAAAAAAAATTAGGGTTCATGAATCGAAAAACCACCCCAACAACCACCCTCAAGCAAGCAATCAGCCACATGCAACATTCGAACAAATCAACAAATCTAAATCCAAAGATTCGAGCAATCAGCCACATGCAAGGTTCAAACTAAAACTAAATACAAAACAAAATCAACCTACCTCAGATAGAGATTCGAGCACAGCAAAACGAAACGGCGAGGAAGGAGAACGAAGCAACGGCGGCGGCGAGGGAGGAGAACGAAGCAACGAGCAGCAGCGAGGGAAGAGTACGAAGGAACGAGCAGCAGTGAGGGAGGAGAACGAAGGAAGACTGCTGAGAAGTTTGGGAATTGGGGTTTCAATTTCATTTTTCAATTTCATTTTTGGCTCTAATATTTCAGCATTCCCGGTTTTTTTTTTTACTCATCCGTTGTATTAGGTATTATTATTTTTTTCTTTTTATTAGTAATTGGGGTTGATCCATTGGATTAGCTATAGTGATCCGTTGGATTAGCTCCAACTGAAAAATAAAAAAAAAAATTTCCGGAACACTATCCGTTGTGTTAGAAGAATAATTCGTTGGATTAGCTCATCTAATACAACAGATTAGTTTATCTAATACAACGGTTAGTATAAACCGTTGTATTAGCCCTGTTTTAGTGTAATACAACAGATTAGCCTTGTCTAATACAACGGTGTAAAATTAGCCGTTGTATTAGCTATTTTGTACCGTTGCATTAGATAAAAAATGTAGTAGTGATGGGGGGTCTGTGTGGGGTGGGTGGGTGGGTGGTGGTTTGTTGTGTATGGGGGGTCAGGGGGGTCTGTGTGGGGTGGTGGGTGTATTTGGGTGTCTGTGTGGGGTGGGTGGGAGGTGGGTGGTGGTCCGGTTTTGTGGGGTGGGCAGGTGGCGGTGGTGGGTCTGGGTGGGGCTGGTGTGGGCTTTTTTTCTTTTTTTTTTTTTTTTAATTTGCTTTTCCGACGGAATTTTCCGTCAAAATATACCACCTCTGACGGAAAATTCCGTTGGAAATACCAACTCCGACGGAATATTCCGTCGGAAGGAGTTTAGCTTCCTACGAAAAAGTTTCCGTCGGAAGGAGTTTAGCTTCCTACGAAAAAGTTTCCGTCGTAAGCTTGCGACGGACTTACGATTCTAGTCAAACTAGGGTTCGACAAGATATAATCCGTCGGAAAACACTGTTCCGACAAAAATTCCGACGGAAATGGTCGTTTTTCCTACAAAGGGTCTTCCGACAACGCGTTCCGACGGAAATTTCGTCGGAACAGTGTTTTCCGACAGAATTCAGGGTGTTTCCGACGGAATTTTTCCGTCAAAAATGGCCTGTTTTCTAGTACTATATTCGAACGAAGGAATCGAACCTTGTTAGACATGGTTCGATCAATGATGGGTCTTAGTGAACTTCCTATCTTTTTCTGGGGACATGCGCTACAAACCGCGGCACTAACACTGAACCGAGCTCCGTCAAAAGCTGTTGAAAAGACTCCATATGAATTATGGACTAAGAAACCTCCTAGGTTGTCTTTTCTCAAGATTTGGGGATGCGAAGCATATGTCAAACGATTAATTTCGGACAAACTTCACCCCAAATCAGACAAGTGTTTCTTTGTGGGATACCCAAAAGAAACCAAAGGGTATTACTTCTACAATAAATCCGAGAACAAAGTGTTTGTTGCTCGTGATGGTGTCTTTTTGGAGAAGGAACACCTTTCCAAAATGACAAGTGGGAGGAAAATCGAACTTGACGAAGTTCGAGAGGACGAGCAACAATGTCAACCTGATAAAACTAACAATCTAAGTGCTTTGGAAGCAGCTGAGAAGAATTGGTCAGAATAAAAAAGACAATGTAAATGCTCAACCCATTACCCTTCGTAGATAGCAACGGCTAAGATCTCAACCAGACAGATACCTTGGTTTGTCTTAACCGATGATCAGGACATCCTAGTTATGGATGGTGATGAGCCAGGGACGTACAAACAAGCTATGACGAGCCCCGACTCTGCTAAATGGCAAGAGGCCATGAAATTCGAGATGGACTCCATGTCTGAAAATCAAGTCTAGGACTTGGTAAATTTGCCTGAGGGTTACACACCCATCGGTTGCAAATGGATCTTCAAACTGAAGACAGACAAAGATGGAAATGTATCAATATACAAAGCTAGATTGGTGGCAAAAGGTTATAGACAAATCCACGGGATTGACTATGATGAAACTTTTTCACCTGTTGTAATGCTAATGTCTGTCCGGATTATCTTAGCGATTGCTGCATATTACGATTATGAAATATGACAGATGGATGTCAAAACCGCCTTCCTGAATGGGATTTTGGAAGAAACTGTATATATAACACAGCCAGAAGGTTTTGTTGATCCAAGCAATGCTGGTAAGGTATGCAAGCTTAAGAAGTCCATTTATGGACTGAAGTAGGCAAGTAGAAGTTGGAATCTGCGATTTGATGAAGCCATCAGCAAGTTTGGTTTTAACAAGAATCCAGATGAGTCTTGTGTCTACAAGGTCAGTGGGAGTGAAATCGCATTCCTAGTCCTATATGTCGATGACATACTGCTCATTGGAAACAGCACAAAATTAGTAGAGTCCGTAAAGGGCTGGTTGGGAAAGTGCTTTTCAATGAAGGACTTAGGAGAGGCACAGTACATATTGGGCATCAAGATCTATAGGGATAGATCTAAGAGGATGATTGGATTGAGCAAGAGTACTTACATTGATAAAGTACTGGCACGATTCAACATGGAGAATGCCAAAAGAGGGCACCTACCCATGTCCCATGACGTGACTCTTAGCAAGAAACAGTGTCCACATACACCTGTTAAGCAAGAGAGAATGGATCAGATTCCATATGCTTTGCTAATTGGGTCGACCATGTATGCCATGATATGTACCAGGCCAGATGTATCGTATGCTGTAAGCGCTACGAGCCGATACCAATCAAACCCAATAGAGGCGCATTGGATTGCGGCCAAGAATATCCTGAAGTACCTGAAAAGGAGCAAGGATAAATTCCTGGTTTATGGTGGCCACAAAGACCTGGTTGTTGAAGGTTACACCGACGCTAGCTTCTAGACTGACAGAGACGATTTCAAGTCACAGTCAGGGTACATATTTTGCCTAAATGGAGAAGCGTTTTGCTAGAAGAGTGCCAAGCAGAGCACCACTGCAGACTCTACAACTGAAGCCGAATACTTGGCTGCTTCAGAAGCCGCTAAGGAGGCTGTTTGGATTCGCAAGTTCATCAGTGAACTTGGTGTTGTACCCTCCATCAAGGGTCCGATAGACCTTTACTCTGACTACAATGGAACTATCGCTCAGGCTAGAGAGCCAAGAGAGCACCAGAAGCTCAAAAATGTCCAGAGGCGATTTCACATGATAAGGGAATGGAAATCCAAAGGTGAAATCAGAATTTGTAAGATCGGAACGGATGATAATGTGGCCGATCCTTTGACTAAATCTCTGCCTCAAGTGAAACACGACAAGCACATTAAGGCAATGGGAATCAAGCACGTTGGAGATTGGCTTTGAAATTCCCTGTACATGTGTTTTAATTAAACTGGTCGTTTTAATGTAAGACACTGTATTGAAACCATTCATTTATGGAGTAATGAATTATATATTTTCTATTCACTCCATTGCTATTTAATTGTGGTTTAGAATTAAATAATGAGTCCATTCGATTTATGGAAATATTCAAAACAGGGTCTCAAGACCATGTCTTGGATAAAGAAACACCTGTTAAGTGAACGTTGAATATTTAAATCGAAAATTATCCCTAATCAAGGTCATTTAACTGATGGACAATTAATGACCACTGAAGATTAGTGTGTCGTATGATTTACAGCACCGTTTCTTGTGCGGCAAGGACATAGTAGTCATAAATCATTTGCACAGGTGTCGGTTTGGAACTGCACCGGATCGACCATGAGTACATTTAAGAGATTTAAAACGTCATAAGTACATTTCTCATTATGGCTATCGGAACTTATTTCCTCGACCATGAGTATTGTGAAGTTTTCTTGTTTGAGCACTAGTCTCTTTGATGTTGCCTAACGTCTGCCGTAACTGGGGATCATAACGGGAAAGCTCGGGAGATTAGGTCCTCTTTGTAAGTGAAACTTACAGTACAAGATTGGGAATGTCCCCCTATTAATAATAGGGAACATGAATTTGTTGTTTACAAGGCCGCTCGAAGAGCGAGACTGTGAAAATGCATGGCCGTGCTCAGATGGATTTTAGAAATCATCTGCTTATTGACAGTCGAACTCGGAGATCGAGAAACACTTCTGAACGTAATAAGGATGACGATGAATCTTACCTTATAGTTCACGAAGAGATATTAAGTGACATAGGAAATGGGCTATACACTGTATGCACACTTGTCCGGAAGGACAAGTAGGAGATTGAAAGGAATGGTGTCCTTCCAACAAGTGTATTATTCTGATAGAGGGTTCAGAATTATTATAGAGCTAATTCTTCAGTAAGGTCAAGTGATCGAAATGCCTAGGTGGAGATCCGACACAAGGCAGCCCTCAATGCATTGAGCGAGAAGTCCGCCGGGAAAAATGAGGACATCGTAAGACTAGGCGATGCCCTTAAGTAGGAATGGCTTGCTCGCGAGGCCCTGAAGAGAGAAAGAGATGAGGCGGTCTCCATTGCCTCTCACTGGAAGAAAGGCTTTGACGCCTCCAAGAAGCTCAAGGCCGAGCTTGAGACCAGCCGCCTTGCTCTTGAGATAGCTCTGAAGGGGGCGGACGAACTCAAACAGGAGATCGAACGTCTTAGAAAGGAGGTGGAGGACTTGAGAGAGCAACTCAAGGCTCCCAAGCTGATCACTCCTCAAGAGATGGTCGAGATTGAGCAATCGGCTGAGAAGAAGCTCCAGGATTAATTTAAAGAGGCATTCACTATGATGTTCGACATTAGTAAAGTGTCATACTATCATGAGGCTTTCGTCCGGCGGTTGAACCACGTCTCCCTCAAGGAGGAGTTTGCCGCTGTCGGGCTGCCTGCTCCCTAGTTTGTGAAAACTCCCTCCCCTTCTCAAAGCGATGCAGACAATGATGATGATGATGATGAAAAGGAGGAGGAAGAGCCGGCCAAGGGAGATGATTCGGACAAGGAGGATGGTAGCAAGGGGTCGGACGAGTGAAGAGCTCTTGTTTTTTCGTACAATTGTTTATGTTTAAGCTTTATATTTTTTGCTTCGAACAATTTCCATTTCTGTCGCTTAAGCGGTTTTGTATTATAACAGTTTCAAATTTGCCGCATGTTTAAGAGGCTTTGTTTTATGCTAGTTCTCTTTTTTCTCTTCATTCATACTTAGCATATTTTTGCAACTTTCATGCC